GTAGAAAATAGTGGGGGAGGGTAAGAGCAGTGTGGGAAATGCAGAAGCTAAAGAATTTGAGACACATGGACATGAACTAAAGGGGGGGAATATGGGGGGAGAGGGTATGAAGGGTGGAGGGGAAGGAAGGGGGGAATGGGACAACTGTAATGACATAATCAATAAAATATATTATTTAAGAAAAAAGATTTTTATTATTCTCCTTTAAGCCCTCTCACTGGAAACTTCCTGAAAGGCCATCGGGAGTCTTTTTTTTTTTTTTTAAGATTTTATTTATTTATCTTTAGAGGGGAAGGGAAGGAGAAAGGGAGAGAAATATCAATGTATGGTTGCCTCTCATGAGTCCCCTGCTGGGAACTGGCCTGCAACCCAGGCATGTGCCCTGACTGGGAATCGAACCGCAGTCTTCTGGTAGGAGTCTATTTTTTAAAAGGCTCAGGTTTTCACCAATGCTCACCTCCAAGTCCTTCCAGCATCTTCCCATTGCTGTGTTCCAAAGTCATATGTTTAGGCTATTGTTATGGTAGCACTTTCAGGTACCACAATTTATTTCTGCATAACAAATTATACCCATGAGCCCTGGCTGGTGGAGCTCAGTGGACTGAGAGCAGGCTTATGAACCAAAGGATCGGAGTTCGATTCCCAGTCAGGGCACATGCCTGGCTTGCAGGCCAATTTTCAGCAGGGGACACACATGAGGCAACCATACATTGATATTGATATTTCTCTCCCTCTCTCCTTCGCTTCCCCTCTACAGATAAATAAAATCTTAAAAAAAATTACACCCATGACATAATGGCTTAAAACAAAAAAACATTTATTACTTCACAAGATTTCTGAGGGTCAGGAATTTGGGGGCATCTTAGCTGGTTGGTTCTGGCTTGGGGTTCCTGCTGAGGTTTCAGCCACGTCAGCTGAAGGCTTGTCTGGAGCTGGAATATACATTCCAAGGTGGCTCACTCGCTCACTCACATGGCTGTTGGCAGAAAGCCTTAGCTCATTTCCACAGAGCATCTCCCAGAACAACTGACCCAAGACAGGAAGAAGAAGCAGGAAGCTGCTTTACCTTCATCACAAAGACTCTGAAATCACACTATTCATTTCTGCTTTATTCTGTTCTTTAGAAGCACGTCACACTAGGTCCAATTCACACTCATTAGGATCAACCTCTTGGAGGGCACAGGGTCAAAGAATAAGTAGGCATTTTATTATTTTTAAAGATTTTATTTATTTATTTATTTATTCATTTATTTACAGAGAGAAGGGGAGGGAGGGAGAAAGGGAGAGAAACATCAATGTGTGGTTGCCTCTCATGCATTTCGTACTGGGAACCTGGCGTGCAACCCAGGCATGTGCCCTGACTGGGAATCAAACCGGTGACCCTTTGGTTCGCAGGCCTGTGCTCAATCCACTGAGCTACACCAGTTCGGGATATGTAGGCATTACCACCCATAACTATCTGTGGTTATCTTTCTGCCCTCCAGTTTCAGTGGGGGCAATGAAGTTGTCACTTTTCCTATCCAAGAACTGTTCTTCTATTTGAGATTTTGATCTCCTCCCTGAACTTCCAGAAATTTAGCCATTGTTGTCCTCTCAGGCTCAATTGGTTGGAGCATCATCCCATACAACAAAAGGTTGTGGGTTCAATTCCTGGTCAGGACAAGTACGGGAGGAAACTGATGTTTCTCTCTCCCTTCCTCTCTCTCTAAAACCAGTAAAAATGCCCTCAGGTGAGACTTTTTTAAAAAGTCAGCCACTATTAATTATTCCTCCTGTATATTCAATGTCTCCTTCTCATCTTTATGCTTTCCCTGAGCATTTAAACATTTTTAAGTCTTTACTCATATCCCTTTCTATCTAATATCCTCTTTGCCTGTAGTAGTTTTTGAATATGACTCAAAATTCTCTGACATGCTTCCCATTAAGAGATAGCAGCTATGTGCCCTTCTGCTTGAATCGTAGTGGGCTTGTGACTCCACAACAGAATATGGCCAGTGAGGCAATGCAACCTCTGTAGGTGGCTATAAAAGATCATGCGGCTCCTTCCCAGTTCTCGATACTGCCTCTTGGGGATGCCCCCCTCTGAGAACCCAGGCACCATGCTGTAAAAAGCCCAAGCCACATGGAGAGGCCACGTGTAGGCATTCCAGGCAACAGTCACTGCTGAGCCATTTTTTTAAATTGATTTTTCCTAAATTTATCAATGAGAGAGGAAGAAATATAATCCCACTGCCTCCTATTTGTCCTCAGACGGAGGATGGAACCTGCAACGCTGGTGCAAGGCGATGATGCTCCACCCGACTGAGAGCTACCTGGCCAGGGCGCTTAAGCCTGTTTTTCAAGTGATGGTACCCTTGGTACCAGATCTGTGAGTGAAGAAGCCTCCAGGTGGTTCCTGTTCCTAGCAGTTCAAGTTACCTGCCAGCCATTGGAGCTCCCCAGCTGAGATTCCAGACATTGTAAAACAGAGAGAAGTCATCTCTGCTGTGATCTATCAAATCCTTGACCTTTGGAATCCATAAGCACAATAAAATAGTTCTGGTTTTACGCCATTAAGATTGGGTTGGTTTGTTACATAGCAATAGTAATTTAAACATCCCCTTTACAAACAAATCTCTTAAGAGTTGTCTATTTTCATCCCTATTTCTTCACCCCCCACTTATTCTCCTAATCTGAATCTTGCTCCCTACTTTCAAGCTTAATAATGGTCTGTGAAGTTCATGATCTCCAAGTTGCTAAATCTGATAGACATTTTTCTCTGAGACTGCTAAGAGAAATATTTAACACTATTGTCCAATTCTTCCATTTTGAATACTTTCTTCTAGTTTCTGTACCACCACACTATCCCAGGTCTCTTCCTCCATCTCTAGTTACTTCTCGGTCTTATTTCCAATTTCACCTTCCTCTTCCCAGCCACTAGATGATGAAGCTGCTCAAGGCTGGTTCTAAGCCTTCTCGTTTCATATTTTATCCATTTCCATGGTTTTAATTCCCATCTATATGACATTGATAACATCATTTTATCTCAAACAATTTTATCTATTAAGCTCCAGGTCACAAGTTTAGATGCCTTTTTAATGTTTTGTACCATTCGCTGTTCTTAGGTGAACAGAGACTGGCTTTGGCTGATTTAAGCAGAAATGAACGTATTAAAAGTTCATAGAATCACAGGAAGAGCAGAGCACAGGGGTTTGAGTCTATGCTAAACAGGCAGGAACAACAGCCAAGTCATACCACAGAACTGGCCTGGTGAGGATACCAATATTGCTCTCAGTAAACAGAGACATGGCAGCTGGCACCATTGATGGCACTAGCACTGGACAGCGAATGCTGTCACCAGCAGCAGCACTGCCTCTATGGCACTTGGAGATATCTTTATCTCCACTGTCACCAGTTGCAACTGTCACCACTACCAGAAAAGATTCTTTGGGGTTTCTGCTATAGCTTCCTCTCCAAAGTTCCTGGCTGGTGCATCTGATTATCAAATGTAGACCTTGACCACGGTCCTTACTGCAAGAGATTCTGGGAAAGCAAGTCACTGGCATTTCCAGGTTCTTTGCAAAAGGCAGATTCTTCCACTTCACAATTAATTATAATGCAAAAAATTCTCCAAATATGTAAAGGAGTTTCAGAAGCTAGGAGTGGGAAGGTGAGGAAAAAGACTTCCATGACCTCCTCCTTTCAACAGAGTATATCACCAACCTAATATGCTCTCTTGAGGAACAAATTTGTAGAACTCTTTTGCATGTTTTAATGTGTAAAATAAAATCTTTTGCTATAATAATGGACAGGTCTTTCCATCAGAATTTTCAGCGGGGCTTTGGACATGCAACACTCCTGATCCCAATACCTAATGATTTTCAAACATGTTTCCTTTCACCTTCCTTGTTTTCTTTCTTTTTGTTTCGTTTCCTTCCTTCCTTCCTTCCTTCCTTCCTTCCTTCCTTCCTTCCTTCCTTCCTTCCTTCCTTCCTTCCTTCCTTCCTTCCTTCCTTCCTTCCTTCCTTCCTTCCTTCCTTCCTTCCTTCCTTCCTTCCTTCCATTTACCTTTCTGAATGTGAGGAAATGCGACTACATAGCAAAACACCCTTACAGTAATAGAGAAGTGACATTAAGAGATAGGTGTGAATACTTTGTGTCCTTTTCATGGAGCTGTGTGATCCTCAAAATACATAACTAATTGTTGATGAAACCAAAGGGATAAACTTTGTCCAATAGGACTATGACACAAGACAGGAATCTACAAATAGAAAAACAAAATTAAAAAATTTTAGTCTTTTTTCACTTTAACTACATCAGAGTACTTTTCAGTACCTGACCCCCCACCATAAGGAACTAGAAAATTAATTGTTTATAGAATTAATGTTTCTGTAGTAACAGTGAAAAGTCAGTGATTTAAGATTTTAGCAAATATATAACCTGTTTGTACTGTAAATACCAGGGACATACATATATCAGAAGAGAGACTTGAAGTACAATAAAACTTTTGTATTTGAAAACACGAGACCTACTATTTTTACTAGTTTTCTATTTTGTCTGAACTTAACCGAGAATTATTTTCTTATCTTAGCCTCTCTGGGTTTTCCTCTTAATACCATGCTTGTGACCTGTACAGATTTAGAAAAGGTTCCTCCGACTAAAATAAGTGCTTCGAAAAAAGGAAAAATTATGTGGAAATCTCTTACATTTGACGTTGCTAAACTTCAGTACAATACTGTCACATGTACTTATACAGCAATTGTGAGACACGCCTAAGTCCCTCCCTCTTTCCTAAACCAAATTCCCCATTTCCTAGAAATCCAGCCCTTCTGCCCTCCGGAGGCGCTTTTCCCAACGTAAAGTACAATTTTAAATTTCAGCTCCTGACTAAAAAATGATTCCGTAACTGCTACAGTATCCGGGCGCCCCAGTGCCTCCGAAGGGTGCAGCGGGGTGTAGGCAAGGGCTGGAGGAGTGGGCGAAGCTGCTGGTTGGTGCCTGAAATCTGTGCGTTGCCCCTTTAATTGTGTCCTCAGCCCTCGGGCGTTTCTGTCCAACGCCCACGTCAGCAAATACCTTTTGTTTCTCTCACGTTGGGGCTACTTGTTTTAGGGCGCAAAGGACCGGCTCGGAACAGGGGTATTCCCCCGCGGAGGACCAGGAATCTCGCCCCCAAGCCTGCGTGCGCGACCCGCCGGTGCGCCGCGGCCCGCGGTAAGAGGCTGCGGGCGGCGAGGGCGGGCGGGGCGTCGGGGCTGCCGGGACCGGCTGGACCGGCTCGCGAGCCTCGCCACGCGCGGAGGCGCGGGCGGCGGCGCCGCGGGCTCTGACTACCCGGGCGGCGGCGGGACGCGGCCCGGGGCGCGGTGCCCCTCGCGTCCCCGGCCGGCGAACGGCGGGAGGCGCTGAGGAGAGCGGGCGCCATTTGCAGCCCCGGGCTCAGCGGCGGTAACGCGCTGGCTCCACCGGGCTGGAGATGGTCACAAAGGCGGCGCAAAGAGGCAGCCGGCGGCGGGGGACGCGGCCTCGGGGCGGTGGCCTGCGGGAAGAAGCAGGCGGCGCCGGGGCGCACGGATTCCCAGACTCCGCGCCCGCCTGACCGGGCCGCCCCGCCCGGCCAGCCCTTCCTGCGCCCCCGGGAGGGGTTGCGGGACAATGGCCGCGCCGTCGCCGCCTGCGCCCGCTCAGTCGCCCCCCTGGAGCGCCGCGCCCGCTTCGCCTCCCGGCCCGGCGGTGGCGCGGGGAAAGGCGGGAAGGCGCGCGGAGCCTCCTGTCGGCGGCAGAAAGGCGGCGCGGGGACGGTGCCGGGCGTGTCTGGAGCCGTCGGGCGCCGCGGACTCCGGGAGGGTCGGCAGCCGGTCGGGCTTGCCCTCAGCGCGAGTGACTGACCGCCGGGCAAACGGGACGGCGGGGGGGTCGGGGCTGCCTCTTCTCCGCGGCTCCGGGCACTTGCTTGCGCGGAAGGGTGGCATGCTGGGCAGTAGTCCCAGTTTTTCCGTAACTCCTACATCCTTGGGTTTTTATAACATGCAGATCCAGGCTTAGAACAGAGCTCACCTAACAAATACTGATCTATGATTATTTTTTAATTATCACACGTGTGCACGTTCTACTGATGTAGACAGCCACTTTTGTAAGTGAGCGGTTTAAGCTCCTTCCCTTTAAAATGCGCTGATATATCGTTGATTGTGCCAGTAGTTAGACTCCACATCTTTCAAAAAGTGGAGTTTTGAAAAATGAGATAATAATCGACATGCAGCATTGTAATAGTTGCAATGTTATATGTTAGGTTGTGTTTGCAAGCAGTAGATTGTGCTATTTTTAATAAACGTTTATAGTTGCTGAACTTTATTTAGCAAATTAAGTACTTTCACTTACTGAATCACTTCATTTTCACGTAAAACAACCATACAGTCAGGCGGATGGTTATTCCACTTTCCAGATGAGCAAAGGAGTTAAACGCGGAGTTTCACCTTTAAGCCACTTTTAAGGTAAATGGTGGCAGCCTCCCAGCGCCCTTGCCTCCTGTTCTTGCTATTTCCTCCTAAAGTCACCTCCAGAGTCTTCCAAAAAGCGAATCAGTCACTTCGCTCTCCAGGTCTAAAATCCTTAACTGATTCTTATCTGAAAAAAGTTCAATCAAAATCCTCAGCGGAAGAATCAAGAGCCAAATGTTCTCTCCAGTCTAATTTCCGAGCCTCACTTATGGGTGGTTTTGTGGGACCCTAGGAACAAGAGCCCTTCGCTGATAACCAGGGATCTCGAATATCTTTATTCCTGGGAATGTACGTGGTCTCACGAGGGGTAAAAGGGAAGTGGGAATCTAATCTGCCACCCTTGGCCACATGGGCGCATATGGGTTAGGCTCTGTCAGTAGGAGGCATCCTGAGTCCCTGGGCTCCTTCTAGGTCATGTAAATTTCAGGTGCCAGTAAACGGCACCCTGTTAGGTCTTCTGAACTAGAAATCACCAGCCTTTCTGTTGATAATGATTTGGGCCCAGAGGAAAAAAAAAAACTTTATAAAGTAACACAATTCATTTTATATAATTTAAATGGTGTTTTCTACATACAGAATTTTTCTCTATAGGCTTAACCCTTTCAGTGACATACTTACATGTGTATAGTAAAAGATTCAATGTAAGTTTATTTGATTCCCCCTGAGGGAAGATTTTGTCTTTTTTTTTTTTTTTGCTCAAAATTGGTCAGTGGCTCATTTTATTCAGTTTAACAGTCAAAACCCCCCACATAGGCTACCAGGGCCTCCAGGGACTGGTCTCATGATGTTTCACCTGCCTGATGATCTGCCCTTCTTTTTCCTTTCTTTTGAAAAATATTTATTTTTAGAGAGAGGGAGAAAGAAAGGGAGAGAAACATCCACAGGGGGCCTGGCTCAAACCCCAGGCATCTGCCCTGACTGGCACTGGAACTGGGGACCTTTTGGTTTGCAGAACTCCGCCCCATCCCCTGAGCTACACCCGTTTTCTGACTCCATTTCTCGTTGCTCTCCCCATCCCTCCTTGCCTGCTCCACCTCAGAGCTGCAGGTGCTGTTCCATCTGCATGGAAGGCTTTTCTCCCAGATACCTGTGTGACTCTCACTGCTCTTGGACTTAAATGCCATTTTCTCAGTGAGACTTTCCAAACTATGGTTTTGATTTTCTTAAGTGTTTTCCTACTTCTAAATCTTTGCAGAGTTAAGATGTCTATCCACTAAAGAATGTAATTACCATGTCAGTTGGCTGAACTCCTTTATGACCCAGGGATTTTTGCTAAGGAGGCTAATGAGAATTATTTTGGTGACTCTGATGGCACACTCTAAATTCTAGATTAATGACTATATATCTTAAAGGAGAGAGTCTTCTAGCCTACAACATTAATTCAAGTTATACTCATTACCTAAATTTTCAGTTTATTCACAGAAATACATATATTTCCCTTCTATTCCAAAGACCTTTGAACTTAATGGTTTCCAAAATACGAAATTACTTTTTCAATCCATCTTTTTAAAGATCTTTGAACTTAGTGGGAATCTTGAATTCTTTAATGTACTCCGGATCATTAGAGGTATTTAACTCTCACAGATATTTAAAATGTTTCCCATTGAATTTTGGATGTCTGACACAAATTAGTATAACTTGCTGTTTCAACTTTTATTGTCAATTGACTGAAGTAAGAAAGTTTAAAACATATTACTGATTTCCATGATTTAGTCACATTTTGAAAATAAAGCTTTTTTGATGACTTAAGAGTACTATTATGAATGCAAATTGTGTTCATGCCTTATACAGAAGTAAATGTTACTAAGTTATAACCGACCCCAATTTATAGGACAATTCCCATTTCCTTGGAAAACTGCCTGTTTTGCTCCTTTTGTCTCCACTGCCTTAGCTCAGCACCTTCCTCACCAGTTCTTGCTTTGACCTTTGCAGTTGGCCCTTAATTTGGTCTCCCTGGCTCTGCCTCTCCCACCATTTCTCTTCCTCCATGCTGTCTCAGTTTTTCTTCTGGGTGTGTGAATTGGATCATCATAACAGTAAGTAGCTGCTTTTTATGGAGCCTGAGCCGCATGCCACGCATTGTGCTAGGCATTTTGCACACACTGTGGTCAGAAGAACGCAAGACTTAATAAGAGTGTCAGAGTGTCAGCTTGAGGCCTGAATTCCAGTCTCTGTTCACTTGCTCCTTGTGCAGTCTTGGGCATTTTCTTCTGATTTCTTTATGCCTCGTTTTTGTTTTTTTTTTAATCTCTACTATGTGGATCACAGCAGCAGAGGGTGTAAAGTGTTTAGCACAGTGCCCAGTAAACATTCAAATTGGATGCAGAAGGGGTTTGCTGGAAAGTACATGATCATAAATTCCTACATGGGCAGGTTATATCAGCTCTTCATGCCCCAGGTATATAACTTCTTTAGTTAAAAGGCTTGTCTTTAAAAAAAAAAAAAAAAAAAAGAGGGATACCCCACCTACTGTGGCTCAATGGAATGAGCTCTGCCCTGAGAACCGGAGGGTTGCGGGTTTGATTCCCAGTTGGGTCTTGTGCCTGGATTTCTTGTTGTATTCCCGGTGGAGGGGTGGAGGGTGTGTGGGAGGCAACCACACATTGATACTTCTCTCCCTCTCTTTCTCCCTCCTTTCCCCTCTGTCTAAAAATAAGTAAATAAAATTTTTTAAAAGGGGGGGGCGCTTTTTTTTTGCCTTAGGCAAACTTTGTCCATTGTTTTTGTGCGTCTAGGTTATGCCTCTTTGAAATGCCTTTTTCAGACCCTTTCTAAAGGGTGATCACTCTGAAAAGAACAAGTAATTTTAACTCTCTTGTAATCCTTTCCCTGCCTCGCTTTCTCCCGCCATCATATAATCTTCCTTACAGTTGGCAGTGAAACAGCACCCGCATATTACCAGCACTTGATTTCAGGCTAAGAAAGAATTCAGAGGAAAGACTCAGATACAAGCAAAAGTTTATTTACGAAGTCACAAGAGGTAGAAGTGAGCTGCAGAGGAAATGGGCTCAGGAAAGGGGAAAGGGGAAAGGGAGAGGGGGGTAACCCAGGCAAGGGAGGGTCTCAGTGGAATATGGATCAGCTTTCCAGGTGTGTCACCTCGGGGTTGTGGTTTCCACATATTGGTCAGTGCCAAGTGTAGGGTACGGGGTCATTAGTCATTGCATCTGGTCCTGAGGTTAAGCCTGGCATTGCTACAGTCGGGGCCGGTTTTGCTGCTTTCTGCTTTTCTGGACCTAGAGCTGAAACACAACTGAGCCAGAGGGGTCCAACGTTTTGGAAACTTTTAGAAACTTTTCTGGACACTCCCAGGTACAATCATTTGCTGCCTTGGTTTTATACTTCCCTTCTACCTCGAGTGTTTTCTTCATTGTATTGTAACTTTAAAAGCCTCTCTTTCTTTTCCTCTCTGTCTCTTTCTCTGACTCTCTTTTCCCCTGATAGAAGTTGAATTGTGCCAGAGGACTGACCTTTGACATGTCATCATCTCTTTGTATTCCCAGGGCCAGGTATAGCCTGGCATAGAATAGGTGTGCAAAAAATATGTATTGAGTGAATACATTTACCTTCCAGTTTGAATATCTGCCCTTCTCATAAAAAGAAAATAGAAGATTTTTGCTTTAAGTAGGAAAATAAAACATGGATAGCTATATGGAGTTCAGAACAGTATAAAAATAATTACTGAATCAGAGGATGAAGTTATTTTCTTTCCATTGT